GTTCCCGAAGATAACCCAGATAGAAAAGCGCCCCCGCATAGCCCCGTCCTCCATTCTAATTCCGACACGTAACCATGAACCTTGCAATTGCCAGTCATCGGGCTGTACCATACTATTATCCTAGACCTACTTCCCTAAGTAGAACAGCCTACAGCCGTAAGCCCAGCTTCCTATTCTATTCCGGGTGAGACACCCAATAGTAAGCGTGCCGTCATAATAGTATAACACTAGTGTGGTAACATCGCGTGCTCCCACACTACCCGATACCTTTCTATGCTTGTCCTTTCGTTACCCGACCGTCATCGCATCACAACCCGTCACTCGTATTCCTCATTGTCCTAAGCCTCTAGAACAGTGTTCCGTAGTTCCTGTAACACTTATATACAGGGCCTCCGTCCTAACCCTCATCAGCTCCTTCAAGGCTATGAACAAATTTTGGAACTCAATACACATATGGGCAACCAGTTGCGTCAGGGCGACCAACCAACGAGTTTCCTGGGACAAAGCCCACTGCCCCCCCCTCGTCAACTACACCCAGTATCTAAAAACAAAGTTTGCCGCCCACGTTCTACTCGCTCACCCCCTCAACAACTCAGTGACAGGATGCTGCCACCCTTCCTTCCCTACCCTGACCTCCGATAGGGTCCCCTCCCACACCCGCCTACTAAATGGCCGCCCAAACCCACCTGAGAAATGGAACTTAATGGTAATGAAGGGAGTAGCCTAGCTCACCATCGAACACCTCCACTCTCTCCTCCGCCACCCAATTACAAGAAGAACTGATCACAAACTCCTTCCAAAAGAAGTAAAAGAACAAATGCAGGATAATTGGGCACACGACTTCTCAACGCCCCCCTACTACTCCTTACTCCTGACCACAAGCCCTGCACCCTTCATGAAGTTACATAACTTACGGCCACTCGAATCCACCAGCTGAGAGCCCCAAAAAGCTACCTCAGAGGCCATAAATCATGGCTCAACCTCCACCTCTCTGACACATTTGACAGATGCGGCGAAGGCCCCGAAACCACCGAACATCCCATCCTACCATATCGAGCAAAAGCTACCCAACGCTTCCAACTCCTCCCGGAATCGGCACCCTCGAAGAAATTTGGAGCAACCATACCAACACACTGGCCCTAGGAGCCTTCATCACCGCCACCAAGATAGACTTCCCAAGGAAGAACCAGATCTCCCGCCTCCTGTACAGATCTGAGACGTCAAGCTCCCTCAGCTCCCTTCCCTCTTCCACGTAGCCATCGCAAATCCAACAGCTTAGCATGGAACCGCACATCCACAAGACTCTCGAAGGGCAACAGGTTAATAAAAACCAGCAGGAAGGATCTCCTATGTCGGATATGGGCCGCCAAAGGGTGTTAGTTTTCCTAACCGTCAGTTAGTTTGTCAGCGCAGTTACCTTTTCTTTACATTTTCTTTGTTCTTCTGGGCTCGTGAGATTTGTGTTCTAGCCGGGGAGAGGTATATTTATGCCATAGTCTATGATTGCATGCAAAGCTTTGTACCTAGAATCAATTAAAACTACATGATTTAAAAAAAAAAAAAAAAAAATCTTTGGAACGAACGATAAACGAGATCTTCCTCTGGAGCCCCCAACCAAGACGCCAAAACATGCTGGCCTTCTCCGCGGGGCGCGTGATTATAGCTTTACTAATTATTTGACTTGAAACAATCTCCGCCAATTCCAAGCCTGATCGCTCATAAACGAAAAGCGAACCGCAGGCACTGTGCTTCGCTCGGGCGGTCTCTGATCTCCTGGGGTACGGATTATTAGTGAAATCTCATCATAATGGGAGAGGCAGATCAGAAGAGAATATAAAAGGAACGTAATAGACCACGCTCGATAGCGTTTTATATTACCAGACGACGGTACCTAATATCCTATATTAACTAAGTATCCCACGGCCGGTTTCAACCCGCCGATCGAAGGCACTCCTAGGCTGGTGCTAGAATGAATTCTTCAAAATATGGAGACACGCCGAGGTGAATGAAGAGAAGACCAAGAACAATGTGAACAAAAGGCGTTAAAGATAAGGTGGGGCTATCTGATATAGGAGAGGAAAATTTCCTTATAAGGTTTAATTAATTAGAGAGGTTTCACTCCTGGTACAGCGAGAGGTAAAATTATCGTGGACCTATGACTGGGCAAGTCAATAGGACTCCTCCCGTATTTCTACAACAATGTTACCTCGCTTTATTTTCAACCAGGATCCGCACTGTAAGTGCTTGTTGTGGTTGGAGGAAGGAGTACATGATAGTGGCCGTGGGAAGAGCAACCAGAGATCTTTTTGATTCAGGAAATTCCAAACTAAAAACCACCGTTAACCAAATGAATTCAAAAAAAAAAAAAAAAAACCACCGTTAACCAAACATAAGCACGCCTGTCAAGGCTTCTGGAGCTGCGGATTTCAATGCGTAGTTCTAAAAGTCTCCACCAATCGCCAATAGTACACCCATGACTCCAAAGTATTCCCGTATCTGGCAACCCTGCCCAAATCTTAGGGATTTTTAACCGAAACATCCCTAATGGAGGATCCTGTCATTATGACTCCCTACTTGTTTTATTTCTCATCACTTATTCATCAATCAATGAAGTTCCAGAGCTTGCAGTTAGGCAACATTCTCTCGATTAATCGCCTTGTCTAAACCGCTGCGAGTTCCGGTTGGCCGCGCCAAGTATATGGGACAGGGGTCGTTGAGATTCGGCGAGAAGATGAATTAGTTGCATGCAGGTCAAGCCAATGAATAAGCAGCTAACTACAAAGTAGAATAGGTAACATTCACTTTCAAACTATCTCAGAATTCAGAGGTCTCATTCACCCCCCCCCCCCCCCCATGCGCACTAATAATCGCGTGCGAAGTCGCAGATCCCAAAATTGTAAGAGCACGAGATAAGGCCTAGGTCCCGTGGTACTAGCATTATCGGGACTAAACCCTTCAATCCTGTAGGCAGAGTATACTCTATCGATGCATTATACCGCATATAATATATCCTGGTAGAGCCTTTTCTTTGGACTTGAGATTTCAAATATGATATCCGCATGGTTAATAAATGCTGAGAAACCATTCACACATCCTGGGACTATGCCGGGGATGGTTCAGCTGACGGCCATGTGGTTCCCAGCCAATTAGTACCATTGTATTTGATGCTTATTTTGACACCTTGCCCATGGGATTAGGTATTTAGTCTACCCCGGGCAGTATGCAGTCTATAAGAACCGGAACTTTAACCGCAGAGCATTATTCTATGCAGGGAGGTGTTCGACTGGAATTACGAGTAAAGTGATAACTTAATTCGCTCTATAAATCAGCATTCTCGGAACTACATTTTTCATCGAAATCCCTCGGAATCGCACTCTATAACCACAAAGTACACGTTTGTCAGTGTTGGACGAAAATTCCAGGGTTCTACAACCTTTGCATACGGGACGGGGTATAGTAGTCTAGTACGTCCTGTTAGCGGATGAAGCTCTAAGATACTCCACGTACACGCCCATATACTAGTTGGATGGTGATTCGACTCGAATTGCAGTAGGATAGTTTTATTTATAGGCAATTAAATTTACTGCACAATGAAAACAAAATCATTTAACGCACCTCTAGAAACCCATCATACACCGGCATCGCCGCTTGACTTAGAGTAGTAATTAAACTATATGTGCTCACTGCCTGCATGCCTGGCAATCAGTATGCGCAGAATATCAAAGTTGGTGGCTGTCATAAGGTTGAGAACAAGTCCATGAGAGCCCATTATTCAACTCAATATTTAAATTGCATTTCTCGCTTGTTCTGAGGCGTGATCGGCTCAATACAGCGTCAAAACCGATCCTAGATCAATTGGTCTGCGAATCCCCGAAATCAACAACAAAGAAGGTGTTGGCGTATAAAACTGCGGAACTGCCGCCCATCCCTGGATATTGAAGTCCCGAATTAAGTAATGGTGGATCAAGCTGAGTACAAATCTCTTTAGGAAGACACGATCTTGCATGTCCAACGAAAGCTCCTGGGACTTAAAAAGAGATCAGCACATCTCAGTGTTTTGTAAAATAGCTGTCCAGTTTTTAAAGGCCAGTAGGTACAGGAGAATAGGGCCGGAGGTGGAGACCTGTCCAGACAAATCTCCACTGGTCGGTCCTGTGGCCGATTGGGCGGCTTGTCATCTCAACGCAAAAAAGGGTTATTCGCCTCCGTCGACTACTGTTATTAATTGAATCATGCGAGCTTTGAATATAGGCGAGATCTCGCATTTTCTTCGGTGTGTGATGGTGCATCAAAGATTTGGCCGGAGATCGATTTGTTGTATCGGATTCGAAAAGAGGGCCAATAGAATTTCATCAAGCCTTATATGTATACACGGACCACGGAAGAGCCCTCAACCCGGAAGACAATATTTATATATCAGTAGATGCCCTCCATGCTATCGTCCAGTGGACAAGGCCAGGAGAGTACTGTCATCAAAGGGATTACCATCCACGGGAGCCTTGTGTACCGACTTGCCTTCCCGACTCTACCTCCGTCCTCTCCCCTCCCCCGCCCTTGAAGTTGCACATTCCTATCACACACCCAGTACATACATAGCACAGAATTGGTATCTTTCCTAATCTTAAATTATTTGAGGTGGAATACCAGCAGAACGCATGGTAAGTGCCTGATTCTTCCTGGCTTGCCCGCACCGTGCTCATCCATCTAATCGTTTGAGATGCTTAGCCCCAGTGTTTATAGCAGATTCTGAGACTCCCCTAAGTGCTTGACACATCTCGGAAGGGTGTTTACAGTATTGCTACTTCGGAGGTTCCGCTACCATCATATGTAGGTTGATTGCATCCCTCTGGGAGGAGTCTATGAGTTGTGACCCGTAGCTAACCTACGTCTTTAAGTAGCCTTCGCAGCAGAGCCTACCCTCATATATAAGCCGCACTTCAGGTCCTACCTATACCCAGTCCATTACTAGCTGGTAACTCGACCGTGGATTACTACGCAAAATGTTTCTCCCACGCCCATGCGCGTTGCTTTTCTGCGCGATATCCTTTTTTCTAGCGCTCGCTCTCTGCGACCCACTACCGCAAGCAACTGTTTATACCACGGCGATAATTACCGTTAAGCCTTCAATCCTAAGCTCCACCCCGACTCGAACGGGACCTCCTACCAGTTGTGTCGTTTCAAGGATCACAGGCACAGATACCACGGTTCCTGTGATCGGAAATGTTCGATTTCGGACTGAACCTTCCGGTCGGGGAACCATTGGTATCCTCATCAGTTGCACGGCCACTTATATCTTCTGCGTCTGGACCACTGTGCATCCTGCTGTTGGCGAAACAGGAAAGAGAAGGCTTCGCCTGTGGTACAAGTTGGTCTTGACTTCTATAGCCATCACAGTCCCAGCGGGTGTCATGATATACGCGTTCGACGAATGGCGCCAGGCGAGGCGTCTTGTAAATGAGTGGGAGGCGAATGTCAAGTACCACCCCAAGCCTGAAGATGGTTCACACGGGGGACGGCCCCCTAAAGGGCCGGCCAAAACTCTTGCCAGAGGTACTGACGACTTCGTTCCACTACACATCGGCACTGCCTTTTTCGTCCTGATGGGAGGATTTAGAATCGATAACAAGCACGCGGAATGGAGCCATATGACGAAGAAGGAGAGGAAGAAGTGGAACAAGAAGAATATAGGGGGTGAGGAAGTCTACGAACGCCCGATACTGAGCCCACAAGGTTTCATCAAATACGTTCAGAGCGGCCGTATCAACCAATCTACATTCAACCAGGTAGATGTACTGGACAAGGGGAAGGGCAGTAACATCGCAAAGATATTTGCAGGTTTCCAGGCACTTTGGCTCATATTACAGTCAATAGCACGATGGGCAGACAATTTACCTTTGACAGTCCTTGAGATACATGTTCTCATACAAATCGTCTGTACATCTGTGATCTACGCTTTCTGGTTCAGAAAGCCCTTGGATGTCGGTGTACCCACTACTATCAAGCTGGCACCAGCACTTGGCCGACTGCCGGAAAATGAAAACACCCCCCAAAGCCCTGGAAGTACCAAGATTCCCCAAAGCCCTGGAAGTCCCATCAGTCGTCCCTACGTGGGGGGCGAGACGCTACATATTCGCACTGGCACCCCTTCCCCTTCACCTTTCTTCAGGAGTGATACGAGAGCCAGCCGGATGACCGCCTCCACATACAACGGGAATGATGCGATAACCATCACCGGCAGTGACGCCGAGTATAGCGATTTCGTGGAACGCCCAAGCGAGAATGAGGAAAAACAATACATCGATGAATCTGATACTCTGACTCGCAAAGATATGCTGTACAAACCCGCAGTCACTCGGCCACTCAAGGCAGCAAGCTCCGTTCAAGCAAAATGGGTTCCGGTCACAGCAAAGGCTTTTCTTGATGTTGCCGCCCACGTCCGCCCCCTTGAGAAAGCCAAGAATGTCGACGATGAGACAACAAGTGGTCAACCGCAACCTCAAAGTAAAGGTGAAGGTGAAATTCCAGGGCCAGGGCCAGGTCTACTTCGCCATTCAACAACATGGAAAGAGAGGATCCAATGCTCCGAGACCGGGTTTACAGCAATGATGGTTGTCGCACAGGGGTTCCTAGTTGTCCTTGTTGCTTCACTTCATCTCGGTGCCTGGAACACTAAATTCCCGAGCGCAGCTGAGCTGTGGCTCTGGCGAGCCTCGTGTTTTAGCATGATTGGATTTCCAACATGGATCGTTGCGGTTATATGTTTCAACAACTTCGACCCGCTTATGGCTTCCAAGAACTATGATCATGACATGGTCGACATCCTCTGGCTCACCCATGTCGAGCCAGACCTTAACCCCTCTCGGGTTCCGCAGTTCGCTCTTAAGAATATCCACAAAGCGATCAAAAGACACAGTTTGCGTGCTTCTGAGGTAGCACTTCCGGATAAGGAAAAAGGGACTGGTTCTAAACAATTCCGTAAAGCGAAGATGGTCCAGCATTATATTATGCTCTATAGTTGCTTTTTTGCGGTAATCTTCTATGGAATTGCTTCTTTATTTATCGCGGTGGAGTCTTACCTCGCGATGCGTTACCTTGAGGATAAACATTTCCAGTCACCAAGGTGGAGTAATTTCATTCCACATTTCTGAAGAGGGGTCTTTTCTAGTTTTATAGCGATTTCACGGATAGCTCTATTTCTTTAATCTATTTTCGTTGTATTCTTTTCTCTTTTATGCAATAGTTCCTTGAGGGTTTCACGGTCTTTCTTGATTTTCTTACTTCGGATATTACATGTGCCGTATGTTAGGTTATCCTATATATATTGATTGTTGGATATATGAAATATTTCCACTACCAAAGAAGCGGATTAGGGGACGGCCTGTAGTCAAATTTGATGAATTTCATGATAAATATATTTATCTGGCTTTGCCGGACTGCTGAATAATGCCTTTACTTTTGACTCCTATTTTTTCGCCTGATGAACCTGATGATAACCTATTTTACCCCACGGCATTGGCGAGGGATGCCTTCAACCCGGTCATATCATGATCACTCGTTCCCTAGCTACATGGACCACTTACCTTTCTAAATAAATTCATCTCGACGTACCGACAGGCTCGTGACAACAGGGAACCTTAACAACACCGGGGCCTTCTAATTTCAGCCAAAACCTGTACCCTCTAATGCCAGTCTCCAATAATAATATGATTGGTTGAGCTATAATTTATATGACTGTGGATTATCAGCCAAAGGGATAATACATGTTCACAATGCTAGAGCGGTTCCCCGGTACATAATCTTATAAGCTTCTCCTCGTCATATTCACATATAAGAAAAGGTGTCAAAGAAACTGGAGGTATCTAATAGTAGCTTATTTATCCCTTCGTTCGTTCCCGGTTTTCACATTAGTTAACTGAGAGACGGCGTGGTGATACTCAAAAACGCAGCTGTAATAGGGAATGGATACCTTCCTGGAGAAGAAAGGTCTGTTGGAAAAGAGGTCACAAACAGTGACTTGAAGCCTAAAGAGGTTCGCGGAGTGAGGGTTACAACGGGAGTTGCCCGAACAGGTTAATTTCTACTATCTTGAAAACGAACGAAGGGATGTGCTCTACGATTCGGCTTCGGCTACAGCGGCCGGAAACCATATGCTTTCTGCAATAGGGGCACCCTTACCCTACGTACATAAACTACCATAATACAGGGCTTGTAGCTAACAGATTTCAAAGCAGCAGGTGGTGCGGGTGACTAGAGTATTATGATACTCTACTCTAGTGCTGTATTATTCCACTGGAAGAGACTGCGTGAGCCACTCACATTGACGTACCTAGCTAGTTTCTGTGGTTTATGTACTACGCATGTCGGGGTAAGTCTGTTGAGAGTGGCCGTGGTTGCAACAGTTCTCACTGCCAACAGACTTACTCCTACACCCGTAGTACGCCGTAAAGCGACCTCTTTCAGTGGAATAATACGGTAGCTACAGTTGCCGTATGTATGAACTCCGGTTATATCGGACGACCCGACCCTGTACCTACATAGGTAGGAGGCGTCGATCCCTTCTCACCCGGTCCTGTCTTCTTTTTCTTTTCTCCTCTCTGTGTATGTGTCAATTGCAGATCAATCACTTATTTGTTGTTGTCCAGTCGTAGAGACTTTTATCAAGACAATGATAATATTACTACAGGTCACTTCCGCCAGGCGTATTCACAACCCCACACCTGACCTGGGAAGGTCTCACCGCCGGGGTTATAATTGGTGTGAATATCAGTTCTATGAAGCCTAAGGCCGCTATTACATGTAGAGTAGTGGCGGGTCTTTTCGCTTTATTGTGCTTCTACGATTAGCACCAATATCGATGCACAACATGTTAAACGCGCAGCGTTGTCACAAAACTATTGGTATTTAGCAGATGCCCGATCACAATACACCCACAACCACCCTTACGATCCAGCCAAACAGGTGGCGATGTGGCAAACAGGAGGGTGTATTTGCTAGACGACTTCCGATATCAGAAATTTCTGTTCGCCGGTATTCTCGAATCTCGTGTACGACTAGATTTACTCGACACATGCACATACCCCACTACTCGTATTTATCTGACGTTTGTGGACGCGACTGATATTGCATGCCATACAAAAATACGTCAAGCTCATGATTTTGGGTGTATGCAATAATGGCCCAGTTCAAAAACGTCAGCGAAATACTAGTAGACTGGAGAGTGAGTACATAAATGTCTGTACCTGCACTGGCACTGGCGTGCACAAAGCTTAAAGTATGTGCACTCTAAAGTAAATAATTCTATGTTGGCTACGCGAGTAACAGAAGCTCTGCACCTTGCGCTGGCTAGGTACTTTTATGCAGGGCATTCCAGCGTCGTTGTACAGGTGAGACATTGTGAGTGCAGGTTGTTGTCTCAAACCTCGGCCACACCCACATGGTCGTAATAGGTCACCACAACTAGGAGGTATGCGGCGAAGTACATGGATAATTAATCAATCACGGCTCAAGTGATGCGGGCTGGTGACTGTAGGTACCTACTCTATGTCGTGAAATTGTGCACGTGTAATATTGTGCCGATTACATGTTGCAAACCCTACCAAGCCTGAGACAGTTGTAAGGAAAACTTTACCTACGAATCAACAATCGATGGCTACAACAAAGCAGAGAAGGTGGCTATATACATACGTCAAATACATCAAGTATTCAATTAATACGCTATGCCAGCGGTTGATAGTGTAACTCGTAGCTACATGTAGATACCTAAATGTAGGAGGTGCTAGTTGTACTGTAAATCCCCCCATATCTGCTAGTACATACATACTCCTATTAACCTAGTCATTATTTGTCTATAAAGATTACTTCTCGCAATTGAAACCCCCGTGGATACATATACTCTTCTCCCACTTGTATCTAGTACTGGCCTCGCTTCCCTATGCTCCTTCGACCTTGCTCTTGTCAAAGCAGGTGCTTAGAAAGGAGATGTCACGACTTTTAATGATAATGACGAGTGATTTTTGTGTCTATGATGATTTATTTCTAAAGACTAGCTACTTTGGCCTTTATCTATAGATCTATAGTTGTGAAAAGTAAATCATCTAACTACTAGAAAGAGATCCAAAAACCGAAAATATGCTTAGCCACTCCCAAAAAGAACAAAGAAAAATCATTATGCGTGAAAAGTAACAAAGAAAAATAGAACGGGAAAAGTGAGTAAAGAAAAGAAAAATCGATTTTTCCGTCGGGAAAAATAGATAAATAAATTTGCATATGCGGATGGGCGGACCGATTAGTCAATTTTCCTTACGGGAACCCTGTTCCAGCAGCTCTTACTCTCGATTTTGGCCTAGCAGCCACCGGCAGTCATGGATTATCACTCGCATCTTGAACCTACTCTACTGTTGGAATCGTGATGCGAGCCTAGGCGCAATGTCCTAATACTCACATGAGTGTCAGTATATATGCTAATAAGTATTCATGTATTACATATTGTTCTACGCACAATATTCTTGTATAAATAAAGGCTTGATCTGCAGATCTGCCCTCAGTATCATGATAGTTAAGCAAGTCAATTAAGAAAGACAAAGTCTTCCGCATCTATTGTTATTTTTATTATTTATTTTCAAGTATATCTGTCAATGAAGTAATTCATATCTCTCTAGATCTCTCTAGATCTATATACAACTTTTAGGAACGAATAAATGATCTGTAAAGAGTGTTCAACATTTCTAGTGAATAGGATCGTCCATAAATCTGTGCTAATATAATCTCATTGATGGCGAACCTTCTCTTGAGTGCGGATGCGCACGCCATCCATATCGACCACGTAGTTATTGAATATCTCTATTATTTATTCACGTATACCCGATGTGAATAAACTGTTAACCTTTCGATCAACCCCCAAGTACTAGTCTGTATTCCTACAAACATCTTCTGCATCAAATAGATCCTATATTAGGAAGATTTATAAGGTCTTTGATGGTTGAGATGTTCATGTCTGCTACTGTACACCAAACTCCAGAGATTGCTTATAATCTTGTGAGCTGCGGTGAGGGCAAAGATAGGGGTAGAACGAAAGTATCCCGGCATACGTACAAAGATAGGAACATAGAAACGGAGAAGATGGCACCGCCCCGCATAGATACATATACGGGCGAGCTTGTAGGGGGGAAGATGATAAACCTTCTCCCACCGAATGGGCAAATACTAGCGAGCTATGGTTAAGAGAGAGAGAGCTAGAGATCCCGCCTGCGTAAATTTATGCACCGGCGCGGCGCATCGTATGGGCGATTGTACGCGTGCGGGGATAAATATGCCAATCCTTTCACTTTGGCGGCGCCCGCCCTGTTGTAGGTACTCCACCCGCATTATGCAGTTATGGCCGCCGTTATTGCGCCTATCGGAGTGCTAAGTACTACAAACGTCACCGAGAGAGGGTCCTTGGGTTTGATGAGCACAGGGATGTGTCGCAGGACTGCGTGCGGGAGGCCGGTAGACAATACCAGATTCCGTCGTGCATGCATATATATGTGGCAGGAAACGTCTTCCCGGTCACATCGAGCACATGCGTGTGTCAGCTCGCGATCGACCAAGATATGAATGGTTTAAATAGGACTCTAGAGATCAGGGGCAAGTTACAGTTGATACTAGAAACCTGCACTTTCGTGTTTCGCCCTTAGCTACGTCTGGTCCAGTGCCAAGCTTGTGGCCATTATAATACATCTTATAGATACACATGCATATATATATCCTGGCGGGATATCAGAACACTTGGCGAGTGATACAATAACATTTTATTTCATCATTTAGGTCTTAACTTGTTTTAAATATCACTCTAGCAATTATATACATCGTCCGATTTTTTGCCCCACCTTCTCGCAAAATCCTGACACCCCCGAATGAAACCCTGCAGACTAACTGCATATAAGTACATATATCAGATCATGTCATGATCTAATCCACACCAGTTTCTATTCGCAAATGTCATGCATAAGAAATCGGTACAAATTGCACCACGAGAATAGGTCCCGGAAGTACACGATTCTATAATTCCCACATATTCTACCGGCGATATCTCATCTGATATCAATGAGAAGTATCCCTATTATACTATGGATATATACATACCACCCCATCAATTAACGTCCCATCT